GTAAATAGCACACATAATATGCAGTAAAGATGTTATCAACTGTACTGCCTCAGTATGACATATAAGACACAAATTGGAAATTAAAATGATATGAAAACACCTTTTTTCCATGAAACATCATGGATAAAAATTATTGTTAATAGTATAATGGGATCTTCCATCATAAATTAGAGTGCAAATTGGCAGAGCATGAGAGCTAAAACTAATGAGACATACAAATTGTACATATACACATGTATATATGCATGTACACCAAAGTGCACTTATATTATGTAAAGAAAAGTGGTCAAATGGCTAATAATAGTAATGATGAAGTATTAATGTGAGAATGGCAGGAAAAAGAGAGAAGGGGGGGATCCTGACCTCAGGATCCCTAAGACAGCTTTACAGACATCTGAGAAAAGAGGGGGCTCTAAAACAGACTTCTAGATGAGATTGTGAACCTTGGCCTCTTAGGGCTATGCTACCCAGAGTGAAAATCCAGTAGGTTCCTCTCTTACATAGCCTCTGGTGTCTTCATTCGGGATCAAGCTCTGCTCCTATGGCCTCAATACCAAAGACCCTGATGTTTTTCTTTAAAATTACAGGGAACGGAATACTTCTCTTTACCCCACACTTCTCAGGGGCGAGAAGTGCAACCTACGTAGAGGTGGCCACATGAGCACTTGATACAGTAGACCACAAAGGTGGTACCACAGTTAATAAATTGTCTGATTTTGTGTGATCTACCACCTGCCCCCATGACTTGTTTACAGTGCCATATGAACTGGCATGTGCCGCAGTTCCTACTAGTGCATCTAAAACTTTAGGATTTAAGTCCCAACAAATAGACCCTATCTGTTTGGCTGTGATGAAGAGGGTTTCCCTCGAAACGCATAAGCCACTGCAGATCCCTAGACGGAGCGCATGTGGTGCGTTTATTCTTCTGGGTCCCACCCATCATCATTGTGCCTGTGGATACACTATTGTTTTAAGCTGATTCCAAACCTTTGTTTGTGAGTATATTTATGGTTTTATTAACTTACAATAAACATCCTTGGAATAATGCACTAGGCAAGTGCCCCTTCTTTTCTTGTTTTTCCACAGTGGGCTTCTGAATATCCCCCAGTCAGTTGAAGGCTGTAAGGCCATTTTGGCCATTCTGACCACTTGGGTCAATTTGCCTGAACATTTACATGTACTGTTGGTCAGGATTCTCCAGATCCATGGGCAGGAGATTTGGTACAGATTTATATCCATGTCTACTTCCAATGCTTAATCACCCCTAGAGGTGTTTGGAGGAGAATTTTGTGATTCCTATTCATGAGATATTACTGTTTTGCTCTCCTATATCACTTAGCTCCATTGGGGGCTGGCCGATACTATCATGTAGTACTTTAGATATTTCAGGGTTTCTGTTTTTGCTGGGTATTTGTGATTTGTAAAATTATGGTGATCTTTTCTAGGCTTTTTACTTCACCTCTGACTTGTCACTGTTGGTCTGGTAGACTGTTTGTACCTGTTATCCAGGTTGAGATGGTACTGCACAGGAAGAAGAAGAGTATGGGTAGTTTTGGTTATTGCATTTCATGTTATTAGTAGTTGGGGCTATTAAGACAACTTCAACCGTGTTTTGCTTTTGTCTTTATATCTCAGATTTAGTATTTTTGCATTTTCTCACATCTAGTTTGCTTTTTTATTTTTGTTATTTCTTTTTATCTCTACAAAGCCTTAATAAAAATTAATTTAAAAATAGTATGGGGAATGCCTAAAATCTGCCTGTGAAGTGGCAAAACTGTATGATGTAAACCTTCTAGGCATGCACCAAAATTTTGGTGGCCGAAATGTTTTGTCCGAAACACCCCTATTGGCCATTTGCCGATATGAAAAAAGCATCGATATGGGTGCTGAAAAAACCCTGCCGCCTGCTGCTGCTGCCCCTCGCCACCACCCCTTGCTGCCGCCACCGGCCGCCGCTTAGTAGTTCTCAGCCTTACCTGAGAAAACATCAAACGATCCCGGCGCTGGGCATAGAGATTAGTGAAGGAAAGATGGTCTTCACTCATCTCTATGCCCTTGGAGGACCGGAGCGATGTCACTTCCAGTTCCCGCCATTTTTTTTTTTTAAAGCACTAGATCAATGCTTTTTTTGATCTAATGCTTTACATTGCAGAGGAGAGATGTGGGGGTCTTATTGACTCCATATCTCTTCATAAAGAAGACCTGTCTCTAATTATTTCTATCACAAGGGATGCATGCATTCCTTGTGATAAGAATAAAAGTGATTAAATTTTTTTTTAAAAGGGACGGTGCAAAAAAAAAAAATTATAATTAAAAAGTTTACAGTGCCCTTGTCTCCCCGTGCTCGCACATAGTGGTGAACACATATGTAGGCCATGCCCACATATGTAAACGGTGTTCAAACCACACACGTATGTCAGAGCAAGAGCAATAATTCTCACACTAGACCTCCTCTGTAACTTTACACTACTAACCAGTAGAAATTTTTAAAGCATCACCCATGGAGATCTTTAAGTACCACGATTTCACACCATTCAACAAACGTGCGCAATTTTAAAGCGTGACACGTTGGGTATCTGTTTGCTCGCCGTAACATCCTCTTTCATAATTTACCAAAAAATTGGGGTATATATTGTAGGGGTCTTTTTTTGTTTTATAATCAAAGTATATTTTTTTCTCAAAAAATATATATTCATTTTTAAAACTGCACATTTCGGTTTCAGTTTTTGGCCAAGTGCATTTTGAATTTTCGTTTTTGGCTCCAGAATTTTCTTTTCGGTGCACCACTAAAACCTACCATGGCAAAACTGAAATTTACAAAGAAAAAAACTGCTGTTTTATTTGCCTGCAAATAACACTTCACTTCTGTGTGGCTGAGTATTTCCTTCATTTATACCAGTCCCTTATTCTAGATGAGGATCTGGTATGGATGTACTAGATGAACTACACAAAAAAAGTGCGTATTTCCCTATAAAAATTAAGGAACAAAAAACAAGGAAAAAGTGTGGGACCCCCTAAAATCCATATCAGACACCTATTATGAAGCTTGGCAGGCCAAGACAGGGGGGCACAAGCATGCATCACCCATCCTCAACCATACCAAGCCTTCAGCATGGGGATACCTTGCCAGGGGGAACTATGATGGCAAAGCACCTTGTCCTCATGTTTATGAGGACAAGGGGCTTTTACCTTTTATTATTATTATTATTATACAGTATTTATAAAGCACCAACAGTTCGCTTGGCGCTGTACATTACAATGGGAGACAGAACATGCGACATGCGACAGTACAATAACAATACAATGCGATACACGAGGGGTTCAAGGACCCTGCTTCTTGGAACTTACAATCTAGAAGGGAGGGGACAGTGGTACAGGAGGAAATAGCTGTGGGGGATGGAGTGGTAGGAAGAGTGGAGTAGGTCAGGAATTAGCAGAGGGTGGAGTCGGCTTCCCTGAAGAGGTGGGATTTCAGGGTGCACCTAAAGGAGAGGAGAGTAGGTGATAGTCTGATGGATTGGGGTAGGGAGTTCCAGAGTATGGGTGACGCCCTGAAGAAGTCCTGGAGGCGGGCATGGGAGGAGGAGACTAGGAAACTAGAGAGACGGAGGTCTTGTGAGGAGCGGAGAGTGCGTTTAGGGTGGTACTTGGATATTAGGTCGGTGATGTAGTTTGGGGCAGTATGATGGACAGCTTTGTACATCAGTGTTAGGATTTTGAATTTGATCCGTTGGGCAATCGGAAGCCAGTGGAGGGATTGGCAGAGGGGGGTGGCGGAAACGGAGCAGTTGGTAAGATGGATGAGTCTGGCTGCCATATTCAGGATCAACTGAAGCTGGGATAGCCTGTGGCGAGGCAGGCCAGTGAGGAGGGAGTTGCAGTAATCGAGTCGTGATATGATGATGGAGTGGATGAGCTGCTTAGTGGTTTCTGGGGTTAGGAACGGGCGTATTTTGGTGATGTTGCGGAGGTGGAGTCTGCATGAGTTTGTTAGTGATTGGACTTGGCGCTGGAAGGATAGATTGGAGTCAAGAATGACACCAAGTACTCTGGCGTGCGGAGCAGGCCTGATGGTGTCGTTGTTTGACATGATGAAGAAGTCAGTGGGGGGTGGTGTGCGGGCTGGGGGGAAGACTAGGAGCTCAGTCTTGAGAGGTTCAGTTTAAGGAAGTGGAGCGACATCCAATCTAATATGTCGTTCAGTAGGCTTGTGATTCAGACGGAGACTGAGGGGGTGAGGCGAGGGGTCGAGAGATAGATTTGCATGTCGTCGGCATAGAGCTGGTAGTTGAAGACGTGAGAGTGTATCAGTTGGCCAAGGGAGGAGGTGTAGATGGAGAAGAGAAGGGGCCCCAGGACAGAAGCCTTGAGAGATCCCAACAGAGAGGGGGAGTGAGGGGGAGGTGGTAGCGTTATAGGTAACGCTGAAGGAGCATTGTGTTAGGTAGGACGAGAGCCAGGAGAGAGCGGAATCTCTGAGGCCAAGGGAGTGTAGTTTTTTGAGGAGGAGGGGGTGGTCGACTGTGTTGAAAGCCGCGAAGAGGTCGAGGAGTAGGAGCACTGAATAGTGGCCATTAGCTTTGGCGGTTAGCAGGTTGATGGAGAGTTTGAGTAAGGCGGTTTCGGTGGAGTGTAGGGGACAGAAGCCGGACTGTAGGGGATCGAGGAAGTTGTTGTCGTTGAGGTGGGAGCTTAGGCGATTGTAGACTAAGCGCTCGAGGAGTTTGGATGTGAATGGCAGCAGAGAGATGGGTCTAAGGTTGTACCTGGCTTGAGGTCCTGGTAGTCTGTGGATAGAGGGATTATAAAATTCTGTAATCCCCTGAAAAATAAGGGGGAAGGGGGACAAAATGGAAATAGTACATAAATAGAGATGAGTGAAGTATTCAAAAATTCGATTCGACTGATTCGGCGAATTCGTGGAAAAATTTTGATTCGAGTCGAATATATTCGCTGCGAATTTAACTTATAAAAGGGTGTTTCTAGGCTTCAGAGAGCCTTTATATTAGTGCAGAACACTGTACCTTTAATTTAAATGCCCTTGGAGTCTGCTGGGGAAGAGAAATAATATGACATGCAGATGAGTGCCGTCGATCTTAGAATCACCGCACACTTCACTCATTTGGGCAGTCACGGGGCCAAAACCAGAGTGTGGAGCCACAGTGTGGCGGTGGAGGCAGCAGCAATGGGAGGCCATACAGCACCCTATGACAAAAATGGAAACCACCAGCAGTGTGAGGAGACCTGAAAGTGGCACATGGCAGAGTGTGGCGATGGAGACAGCAGCAATGGGAGGCCGTACAGGGACCCATGACACACTCTGGACCTGGCAGCAGCATGAGGAGGCGGTACAGGGGCCCATGACGGATTACGGGCCTGGCAGCAGCATGAGGAGTAGGTACGGGGGCCCATGGCAGATTACGGGCCTGGCAGCAGCAATGGGAGGCCGTACAGGGACCCATGACACACTCTGGACCTGGCAGCAGCATGAGGAGGCGGTACAGGGGCCCATGACAGATTACGGGCCTGGCAGCAGCATGAGGAGTCGGTACGGGGGCCCATGACACACTCTGGACCTGGCAGCAGCATGAGGAGGCGGTACAGGGGCGCATGACAGATTACGAGCCTGGCAGCAGCAACTTGGACAGGAGGACGTTCAGCTTCTGCACCGTCGGGTGCGTGCTCGCAAACTGTTGTCTCTTGGAAACGTATTCCAAGAAAGACTGCTGACGGAATCCGTGAAGAGGAGTAGCAGGAGAAGGAGCATCTGAACGAGCGGAATATGCCAACAAGCGACAACAGGGGCCCATGACAGATTACGGGCCTGGCAGCAGCATGAGGAGTCGGTACGGGGGCCCATGGCAGATTACGGGCCTGGCAGCAGCAATGGGAGGCCCGTAATCTGCCAGCACCCTATGACAAAAAATGGAACACACCAGCAGTGTGTGAGGAGACCTGAAAGTGGCACATGGCAGAGTGTGGCGATGGAGACAGCAGCAATGGGAGGCCGTACAGGGACCCATGAGAGACTCTGGACCTGGCAGCAGCATGAGGAGGCGGTACAGGGGCCCATGGCAGATTACGGGCCTGGCAGCAGCAATGGGAGGCCCGTAATCTGCCAGCACCCTATGACAAAAAATGGAACACAACAGCAGTGTGAGGAGACCTGAAAGTGGCACATGTTTGGGGCATGATTCATGGCGGATTTAGTCAGTTGTGTCAGGAACTGGTGGTTTGAAATCCAGACTAATCCACGCCTGATTCATTTTCAGAAACGTGAGTCTCTCCACACTTTGGGTGGACAGTCGTGTCCTCCGCGGAGTTACAATACCTCCTGCCGCACTAAACACGCGCTCCGATGCCACGCTACTGGCCGGGCATGACAGCCTTTCAAGGGCAAATTCAGCTAGTTGGGGCCAAAGGTCAAGTTTCATTGCCCAGTAGTCAAGGGGATTGTCTACCTCGGTTGGCAGGGTGCTGTCCAAGTAGGCCTAAGCCTGTTGTTTGAGGTCCTGCTCCAGGTCCACCTGATGCTGCTGCTGCTGCGGCTGGTTAGTAGTTTCCTCACTGCGCTGGTGAAGAAAGCTACTCATCATCGACTGCAGACTGAGGCAGCCGCTGCTGGTGGAGCTGCCACTGCTCCTACCACCCCACCCCTCCCCTGCTGCCATGGCAGCGGAACGTGAGCGCACAGGGCCCACAGTGTCTGAGGATGGACGTTGGCGCAGAAAGGCAGAGACCAGCTGACTACATAGGTGGTTTTTATAGTACGTTATTTTGGCCTCCCTCTCAGCAGGTGTGAAAAAGGCCACCATTTTTGAACGGTAGCGAGGGTCCAACAAGGTGGACAGCCAAAAGTCATCCCTCTGTCTGATGGTTATTAATCGGCTGTCGCTACGCAAGCAAGCGAGCATGCTATGGGCCATTTGTGCCAAGGAATGCGAGGGACTCCCTGCCTCCATCTCCACAGCATACTGCCACGGTGCGTCTGGGTCCTCTGTCTCCTCCTCCTCCTCCTCTACCAGATGCTCCTGCTCCTCCACTCCTGTCCGCTGAGTGGAAAAACCACCCATTTCACTCAATAATACCTGAGCACCAATGTCCTCCTCTACCTCCTCCTCTTCTTCCTGTCCTGCCCCCACAGGGGTCATGTGGCGTTGAGATCTGTGCGCCACGTCTACCGCACCCTGACCAGCCATTGTTAACAGCATTTGTTCCAGGACGTGCAACAGAGGAATGACGTCGTTCATCCCATAGTCCTGCCGACTCACGAATAGCGTGGCCTCCTCAAAGGGCCTGAGCAAGCGCAGGTGTCATGCATGAGCTGCCAATGGCTGACATCTAAGTTACACAGGGAGTACCTTTATCCGCTTGTAACATCAGGAAATCTGTGATGGCCTTTCGCTGTTCGTAAAGGCGGTCTAACATATGTAGGGTTGAATTCCACCTTGTTGCAACGTCACAGCATGAGGAGTCGGTACGGGGGCCCATGGCAGATTACGGGCCTGGCAGCAGCAATGGGAGGCCCGTAATCTGCCAGCACCCTATGACAAAAAATGTAACACACCA